AGCATATGTTCAGGCCAGGTAAGATCTCCAGCTCAATAAATCACCATATTTTAAATTTCAAGACTAGAGAAAACAACACACAAATTTATTTTGTAACTGCCACTCAGGAGTAGACTAGATTATAATCTAAAAGCTTGAGAGTACATGAGTGGGGTTAATGGTCTTCAGGTCTTAATGAATACCATAAAAAAAGTAACTTCTATTCCTATTACTTGTTTTATACATACGGTTTCTGTAAAAGGCAGAATTCTCAGAGGCAACTTCAGACAAAGGATCAAGGGGATCTCATCTTAAAAACAAGATGGCTTTCCCTTTTCTTCCTTGTATTTTGCTATAGCCTTTCCTGCTCCTACCTCCCCCTCTTCCCCCCTCCTGGGGGCAAAAGCCTGTTACTTGATCAAAGATCAAGCAAATAGCAAAAACAAGTAGGAATAACAAATTTCACATATAAAAGCCAGAAATCTTTTGGTCCCAGAACCCTGCAGAAGTTCACAGTTTTGACAACTTACCATGTTAGCTTCTGCTGTAGCTATTCGATTAAGAACTTTCATCATGTTTGTTGGTGCAACGGGCTTGAAACTGTTAAATTCCATTAAAAAATGAATTAGTTTCTGAATTCTCATTTATTTTTAATAAATTTTTAATGAGACAGAAGATCTTACCTAATAACTGATACACACAACTCCTCTAGAATTTCTTTGGGGAATAGTAACCTCTGGTTGCTGTCTCCACTGAAGTTATCTGATATTATAAATATTAGAGGACATCTACTTGTACGTACAAATCTCCTAAAGTGAAAAATAAAAACGTGTAAGAGGATTCAAACTCCACTATAGTGCAGAATGGCTAAGGCTAACCATTAAAAACTTATTTATAACTAACCTGAGAATTTCATGTAGACTGCTAGGGTCTCGATAGAATTGGTTTGGCATGTCCTATTCAAAACAAATTAACTGCTGTCATTACATTCAGGTGTAAATATTCTCTCCCGCAGACTAACTTAAGGCGTGCTATATTGCTACATGGTTTTTCTTGCTAGTTAGCTTGGCTTCAACTGTGGCTGAAGCTGAAGATAACTGGGAAGTAGGTAGGGTGAGGGGTGTGGGAGAAGCATAACTTTCTTTTTTTCAGGAAAAACAATTACCTAGGAGAAGCATTTTCTTTCTAATCTTGTTTCCTAAGAAACAGCCTTGGGTGAGAACACTGCCTGCTAGACAATTCTATTCAAAACACACAGATATACACAGAGTAACAGCCATACTGAAGAAGGCAAGACATAGTGTATCAGATATGAGAGGAGGTAGACAAGGAAGTGATTATATGAACAGAGGTTTTAGGAATCTACATTTCCCAAGTTATATGGTAGACAATGTTGCTCAGCTGAAACTTCTCTCTCTTCTATTTTTTTTCTTGAAAGTTCACTTTACTAAAGGCTACTTTATTAATTTAGAAAATCTTTCTGTCAAAAAACAATGAGAAGTTCAAGAAGGATGTAGTAGTGTGATATATTCCTGAATTTGTGAAAATAAAGCCTTCTCCTGGATCTCCCGTTATGGCTTATGAGAAGGGTAAATTTCAAATGCCTTATTTTATTAATTCCCATGCACTTCTATATTCTACTGTATCTTCAGTTAACACGCGTAATTTTTACACATGCCTTTGTATATACACAAATATTGCTATGAAGCAAAACACGGTATGATTTTTTTCAGTATTGTTCCAGTCACTTTTTGAGTATCTATTACTTATTTCTGTATATGAATTAGTATGCAGTTTCTGCCCAGCAATTATATCATACAGTTTAAGCACAGGTAGAACTTGTTTTCAGCCAGCTGTCAAAGCCAAAAAGTAACAAAAAACTCATGGGCAATAAAGTGCCAACATTAATTCTCCAGCAGCAGCTAGTTAGCACGTCAAGATTATTATAAAAGTTTTCACTTACTTCAACAAGAATAAGCTTTTTATCATTTTCTGAGGACTCCCCAAGCATCTGAAGTTTGTTATATTTATTTGCTCTTAACAGAAAATCCTGAAAGAGAGCTGATTGGGCCTGACTTGAAAACGCATGAGAATTTGAGTCTGAAAAAGAAAACTAATTAAAAATGTGTATTCGATGTTACAGCAAGTAGAATACAAATACCCGCAAGAACTAATACCCACCCATGCTACTTTCAGATAACAGCCACTGAAGACCAGCAGCAAAGCCTTTTGGCAAACACATTTCAAATAAAAGATAGTTTTCAAAGGGAAGAATTCAATGGAAAACTCAAAGATACATTCTTATTTAACTAGTTCAGATGGTATCCAAAACATTACACTGCTTTCTGTATGAACTGCAAACTGCTTTGGAGTAAACACTGTAAAAAGTAAATCCCTTTTCAGACTATTACTGAACTCCAAGGAGGTGGCTTATATAGACATCAGTCTGACTTTGTAGTCTGTATTTTTTTTATGCTTTTATCTCTGTTACATACAAAACAAATCACAAAATTATCCAAAAAAATAAAATAAAATACTTACTATGGCCAGATATATTTAATAAGTCTTCTTTTGTGAAGTCTAAAGATACTGGATTGGTCCATTCTTGCACTTGCACACCAAGATCTTTTGCTAATATTTGTATAGTTGCTGTCTTTCCACAGCCAGCAGGACCAGTTAACAGCAAAACACAGCCACCCTGACAGAGAAAAAATAACTCCAAACATTTTGAATAAAGATTAAATGTAGACTGATGATGAATACCGTTATCTTTCATACAGCAAAGATTCTCTTTTACAAATAAGAAGAGGTAAATAGTTTGAGTTTTTAATTACCTATTCAGTACTCAGAAAGAACTAGAACAGAAATCTGCAAGGCTTGCTCCCAGCATCTGCATGGCTAACTGCATGCTATATGGGGTACCAACATAATATAAACGGAACAGAAGAATCAGGTGAAAAGAATATTAGCCAGTAAATGATGCATTTGTATAAGAATGCCTAACAATCCAGAAATTAAAAGCATCCTATTGCATCAAGTCACTACGACTAGAAGTTTGCCTCACTATTTAAAATCATACTGCTGGAGATAAAATGCAGTTATAAAAGCACACCAAGCTGAAGGTATGAATTGACTAGGTGCCAGAAAATAATGCTGCTGAGCAAAAACAGAATCCATCTCTACTTCTCTTTGCGTAGGGCTTGTGGGTTGGCTTGTGGTTTGCTTGGTTTTTTTTTTCAGGTTTTGTTCTTGTGGGTTTTTTTTGTTTTGTTTTTTTGTTTTGTTTTGTTTTTTTTAATTAAATTAGAATTCAATCCAATTTGGTTAGACAATTTTGTACCTCTACCTGCTAATTTCACCAAAATTACCTGCTTTGGCTGTCTCCGAAATATATGTATTTTTAACCATGTTTCAACTTCTTCAATTTTCTTCTTTTGGACAGCAAGGTCATTCTAAAACAAGATGAAAAATGTATGAAATGAATTTATAAGTATGCATTACAGTTTCTAAAACTTTAACGATGAAATTCAAGAACAGAAAACAGGCTGAGTAAAATAACAGCTGTGTATGCGTATGTTTCAGTTACATACACTATGCTTTAGAAGTAAATGAAGGACAATCATTAGAACTTATTTCCTCAAACAACCAATTTCCCATTCCTTGCAGTATGGAAATAATGAATGATTTTTGATTCCTAAAGTAACAACATGATCTTGCAGTGTGATTACACACAAATGCTTTGCAGCTATTGCTAGAACTGATCCTTGACTCTAATACTACGTGGATCTTTCTAAATTTCTAGTCTTGTGACCCAGTTCCTCACCATAGCTGGACTACTAAAAAATTAAATATGAAATACAAGTACTGCATTAACTCATTTCTCTCTCTTTTCACTAGTTGTGGATTTTCCTTGAATTGAACTGTCAGATTTGACAACAGATTCAGAAGTTTAGGTGTTGATGGACAGGAAATGTCAGTAGCTTTATATCCTCCAGAAGCCTGCTAGAAGGCATACATCCTACAGATATATAGCACATTATAATCTTCATTACAGACAGTATATAATCAAATCAGAACTTCAATGCCCCCATAAAACAGAACATATTTAACTTCTGATCAAAAACGATTACAAATAAAAGCATCATATGTAACGTTGCTAGTAAATTTGCACTTCAAATCTCTCATACCTGAGTTTCAGGTTTGTATTTATCTACCCATGGCTCATCTTGAGACTGGTTCCAGTTTATTCTGGACTTGTTACAAGGCAGATCTACTGAGGACAACTTTGCTCTTTTTCTTGACAGGACTTTCTTTTTGCTGCATCCCGGCACAGCAGGCAGGTCTTTCTTCCGCTGATGATTTCTCCCAGAGTTGCCTTTGTGCGACTTTTCAGGAATCACACTGGAAGAAATATCTGCACTTCCAAAGAAATCATCAAACGAACAGGCCAACCAATCTGTCGCCTGGTAAAATACAAGGAATTGATATTGTTACAGCATTACCTTCCCTCTTCACATGGGTGCAATCTGAAAATCCTATCAGGCACGCACAGAGAATACCCTGTAAAGGCCTTTAGTAACAATGCTTTTTTAATCCGAGTACAAACTTTCTAAGAGTTAACAAAGTAAATCACACTTTAGATTCCACAGCAGAGCATTTTGTAGCAAACTGGAAACCAGAACAAGCTAGAGCAGAAATAACTAACACCACCAGCAGCGCACAGCATACACAGGCTGTTCTAAAACTGCCGGTTAAAAACATCGCTCCCACACGAAGATTAAGTTCACATTGCCTCCACTCGGTTTTAAACTGACCGCCTCGAGCCCCACCTCCGCCGGCGCCAGCTGTCGCCCCGCCGCAGTCCCGGACATCCCGGGCCGAGCCGCCGGGCAGCGCCGCGCGACGCGGTGCCAAGCCCCCTTCCGCCGCGACGCGGCCTTCCCGCCGCCTCTGCTTAGCTGCCCGCAGCGTGCCTGCGCGCTAAGGCGCCTGCGCGTGACGTCGTCGCCGTGCGACGGCGGTAGCGCAGGACCCCGCACGTGTCTCCTAGGCGACGGCAGCATGCGGCGCCCCAACATCTTGCTGACCGGTGAGTGGCGGGCTGCGCCAACACGGGCCGGGATGGGCCGCGCCGGGCCGCATTTCCGTGTTCACCCGCAACGTGGAGCCGTTCGGGCCTCGTGGCGATAGGGAGAGAGGAAATGGCAGGGCTACGTGGGCTTTGTGCGCCATTCGGCCCTGTGAGGTGGCAGACCACTGTCAGAGCAGGAGAGTGGGTTTGTCTTTTCTCCCGTCCCATTCAGAATCACACCTGTGCACTAAATGAGTCGCCTTTGTTTACTGTGGTTGGTTTTGGTCTTGTTTAGTTTAAGCGCCCCAGGCGTGCTGGACGTCTTTTTTTTTTCTTCTCATGTACCTTTTTGCCCCTTTTCTTGTACGAACTCACTGGTATTCGCTGGGGAAAGCTTCCCCCTTGGCTCTACTCCTGGTAGAAGGTTGCCTGAACAGCTGTCTGCCTGTCTTTGACTGCTCTGCATTTGTCTTTAGGTACTCCGGGTGTTGGCAAAAGCACCCTTGGCAAAGAGCTTGCATCGAGGACAGGGCTGACCTACATCAGCGTGGGTGAGCTGGCAAAAGAAGGTGGGTGGTGTTACAGGACAGTACTAGGATTCTGTGACTGTGTCATTCCTTGCTTCCAATGCATGTGTTATAGAGCAAACCAAAATGTAACAGATTTCCCTGAATTGAAATATGTTGGGTGGATTTGTTAAAGAGACCCTATGCAACAATAACTTGTATTGCATTAATTAATAAATATACATTTATAAATGAAGGGCTCCATGCTACCTTTTGCTGACATCTAGCCAAAGCAAACATGACTGTGAATATTTTTAATAACTCCTGTTATCTCACAAACATGCACAAATCATTTTTGTTACAGAAGAACTGTATGAAGGTTTCGACGAGGAGTATGAATGCCCAATTTTGGATGAAGACAGAGTAAGTTCAGCTTCAAAAAGTAGTATCTTTGTATTGTTTCAACCATTTGTGATTTCATGTAGATGTACCACTCTCTGTTTGTTTGTTATTATTTTTTTTGGTAGGTAATTGATGAACTAGAAGGCAAAATGTGCGAGGGTGGAGTTATTGTTGATTACCACGGCTGTGATTTTTTCCCTGAACACTGGTTTCATATAGTGTTTGTACTTCGTGCAGACAACTCAGTTCTGTATGACAGGCTTGAAAGCAGGTATGTGAGGAGAGTAATTAAGTAAATTGCTATTGTGTAATCTTCATCAGAATTTTTTTCTAAGCAGTAAGATACAGGGGGGTTGGACTCGATGATCTCTGGAGGTCCCTTCCAGAGATCCCTACAATTCTGTGATTCTGTGATACTGATTTTGTATAAAAAGTGTTATAGTTTTGTATATGTGAGGCTGGCTCTCAGTATTGTTCTTATTTTTTTAGGGGCTACAAAGGGAAAAAGCTACAAGACAATATTCAGTGTGAAATTTTTCAGACACTTTATGAGGAAGCTGTGTTGTCATACAGAAAGGAAATTGTGCACCAATTACCCAGCAACACTCCTGACGACCTAGAGAGAAATTTGGATCAGATCGTGCAATGGGTTGAGCAATGGACAAAGGACAACAATTGACAACTGGAGAAAAAGCAACTGTTCTAGTTTTGATTGGGATAGACTTAATTTTTTAATTTTCTTCTTTTCAGCTTCCCATGCTGCTCTGCCACCGTGGATTGCAAATAACAAAATGGCTTGGTTTGGAAGGGGCTTACCTAGTACAGTGCTGTTCAGTAAACAGCTACCTGTTGGGTCCCTCTATCTCAGCCGTCACCAGTGGTCTCTCTTTTGATCAGCATTCTCATCAGCACTTCAGGATTCTCAGGATAAAATATTTCCTGACTCATTTCTAACTCTGTAATCTGGTACAGGGTTCCAGACCTAGCTTCTGTTTATCAACCGATTTAGCCAGACTCAAAAATTCTGGCTTGCTTTCTGAGATTAAGTCACGATCTATCTCTTGTTCTTTTTCTTCTAATTTAGACTGCAAAACTTCTTCCTGATCTAATTCATCTTCCAGTGCCACATGAAGTTACTAACTAGTAGCTACTAACTAAGCTACTAACATTCAGCAGCTAACAGGGTCTGTATGCTTTTCATTTATTCCTGCAAGGATTTAACCATTTCATCACTAGTTTATCTAATAAAACCTGTCTCTGGGCTGTCACCAGTGCTCCTCCCAACAAAGTATGCACTGTGGCTTTTCTTTCTCTGGCCACAACTTTTGATTTTTTTGCAAGTGTTGTGATTCCTTCTGCTATAGCTTTGGGATTGTGCCAGTTGTTCAGAGCCCAAACCATTCCCAGTGGGGAAGGGCAAACACTATACCTTTTCAGATTTCCAGTAATGGGAGAAGTCAAACACCAGTGTTTCCTGGGCAACCATGGCTTGCCACTGCTCATACCTCTCCCAGTGTATGGCCTTCATGGCATATAGTTGAGAGATTGCTTCCCAAGACTTCCCACCCACAGTATCAGGTATCTTCCAGCTTACAACTTTGCTGGCAGTTAGCAGGATTGCCTCATTTTGGAAGGTCTGAAGGCTACCTCTCAGCTACGTGCCAGCCTACCATGGGCAGGGTTGCCATTCAGCAGATCAGGCTGCTCAGGGCCCTATCCTTCCTGATCTTGAACACCTCCAGGGATGGAGGATCCACAACTCTGAGCAGCCTCTGCCAGGGCTTTGCCACCTTCTGAGTGAAGAATTGGTTCCTATCATGTAACCTAAATTTTTCCTCTTTCAGTTTAGAGCCATTCCTTTTGTCCTATTACTATTAAACCATGTAAAAACCAATCCCCCTCCTGGAGCCTTCGTGCTAAACAAGTCCTGTTTTCTCAAAATTTTTTCATGAGAGAGATGCTCCAGCACCTCTGATCATGTGGTCCTGTTCTGGACCCACTCCAACAGCTCCACAACAATTCTTTCTGTGCTGTGGCCCCAGGCTTGGACACAGTGCTCTAGATGGGGCCTCACAAAAGCAGAGCAGAGAGGGACAATCCCTTCCTTTTCCCGGCTGCCACTTATCTGTTGATGCAGCCTAGGATATAGTTGACCTTCTGGGCCTCAAAGGTACACTGCTGGCTCATGTCCATCTTTTTATCCACCAGGACCCCAAAATCCTCCTCTGCAGGGCTGCTTACAGTGAGTTCTTCTTCCAGTCTTTACCTCTGTCTGGGATCACTGTGATACAAATACAATTCCTCGTGCTTAACCCTGTTGATTCATGTGGGCTTATTTCTGATCCTTCTGGATGGTGTCCCTCCCTTCCATCCCTTCCATTGTGTCAACTGCACCGGTCAGTTTAGTGAAACCATCAAACTTACTGAGGGTACTCAATCCTACTATCAATGTCATTGATAAAGATGTTGAAAATACCAGTCCCAAGATGGACCCCCAAGGGACACCACTTGTCACAGGCCTTCATCTAGACATAGAGCTGTTCATACAACCTTGTGGCTCTGACTATCCAACCAGTTATTTATCACCCAATAATCCACCCTTCACATTCCTGTCTCCAGTTTGAAGATAAGAAAGTGTTGTGTGATCATGACAAAAGCCCTGCACAAGTCCAGTTGCCTTTCCTTTGTCCACTGATTCTGTCTGGCTACCATGGAAGGCCACCAGACTGGTCAGGCAGGATCCGCCCTTGGTGAAGCCGTACTGGCTGTCTCAGATTACCTCCTACATGTGCTTCAGTGTAGCTTCCAGGAGGGTCTGTTCCCTGATCTCCCCCAGCACCGAGGCCAGTACAGAATGCTGAGGTTCACAAGAAACTGGGATCTGATCCAAACTGGGATGGGTGTCCCATACCGTGTAGTGACATGGAGAACAATAACACTGGGGAGAGTTGGCTGAGGGGTTGCTGCTGCTGGGGAATTCTCTGGACGTCAGTGGCTGGTGAGGAATTGCACTGTGTGTCACATGTTCTGTATATTGTGGGTTTTTTAAATCATTAAACTATAGCTCAGTCCCCCACAGGCGCTACCTTTTTTTTATTCCCCAACACTATTCCTCCATCCCACAGTGGGTGGAGTGAGTGAACAGCTTTGTAATGCTTAGCTGCATGCTGCTTTAGTAACAGCAGCAACTGCTGCATCTCTCACTGGAATGGTTCAATAAACCACATTTGTAACTCTTACCTGATAAATTAAAATCAACTTCTCAGTAGTTTGTTATGGTTGCAAACTTGGGAAAAAAAAAAAAAAATCGGCCAAGCGATAAGGCTTTGGAACAGCCTCCAAAGCAGCACGGGAGAGAAGGAACTGACACTGGAAGCAAAACTAAGCGGCTAATGAAACCGCCCTCGGTCCCGCAGCGCCTCCGGGGCGGTGCAGGCGGCGAGCCCGCCCCGGAGCTGAGGGGAGGCCGTGCCTGCCGTGCCCCGATCTGGTCACCGAGCCTCGGAGGAGGAAGGGTGGCGAGGGAGCGGTGAGAGCGGCCGCCGGCTTCCCGCTGGAGAAGGGGTCTGACTGCCTCGATTGCAGACAGCACCTGGAGGCTGGACAGGTAACTGAGAGCGGGCTCACGCGGAGAACTGCAGGTTTTTCGCTGAATGTTGCTTTGCCGCTTTAAGTAAGGAGCTCTGTTTGTTTTTTCTAGGTGGAAAAAACCTGGTGTTTTGTTAGGGGAGGTGTTCACATGGCCAGAAAGTGACGTGCGCTCCACTGAAGAAGAAAAAAACAAAAAACAGGTGGAGGGTAAGATGGAGGAAGCAGAAGAGGATGACATGGCATGTGGAGACTTGGGGAACGGACTTGGGAGAAGACCTGGAGGTGTTTATGAAGGGGAAAAATTACAAAACTATTCACTCAGATCTAAGAAGGTGTCTGTGAAGGCTTACAACTCTCTCTCATCAATAAAGGGAGTGGAAGAAAATGATGCTTCCCCTTTTCCCTGTTCCAAAAGAAACAGTTTTCATGATGGATCATCCAAGAAGCCTCTGTCTAGTTTGTCTCGACTAAGTAGCTGTGGTAAGGCTAATTTGGAGTTCAGTGTTCATCAGGAGAAAAATTCCTGGCAAGACTGAGCATTGCCTGAAGCCTGAAGGCATCACCAAAATCAGATTCAACTGTTTGCCAAAACCCTCAGAAGCTGCAAAGAATTCCATGTGCATGTGCCTCACATGCTTCTTGGAGTCCAGTGCTTCTTGGGATTGCGGGCAAAATCTTCAGGTCTTCTGTCAGTGCAGCTGGCATTGCCACAAGTGCAAGAAGTTCTCTGCCTGTTGGAGGCAGCCACATAGTCGCTGCATCTGGGTCTTCCTCTGCAAATACTAACAGAAAAATTGCCTTGCAGCCAGTCAGGCCATGGCCCTTCTTGGTCCTTGTTAATATTTGGTATTGACCTTGAAAGAGAAGTCCTGTGGTGGAGGACAATATAATTGTTCTCTAAATGAGTACATTGCATTGAATTGTTGGGGCTCCTCCTTTAAATGTGTGTTCCCAGAGTCCGCTTCTGAGGTTTAGGGCTAAATATTCAAACTCCTGTTTGCTGTTTAGCTGGAATTTGTAAGCTAGCGTTGTTTAAGGGTAAGAAGTTAGTTTTAGAATCTACACATCTCTGTTAATCCATGTTGGCATTGTGGTTTTACCTGAAGACAACACTACTGTGAATAAAATCAAATACAGGCAGGAATGTTCTTCGTATTTTAGCTTCTTTACCTTATATTTTTAGCTGTTATTTGTACTTTGTCTCAAGTATTTCCATGTAACTGCTTGTTTCTCTCCCTTACAATGAGTCTGAACTATCCTTAATATATACTAAGCCATGTAATTATTCTTTCTTGGTTTCAACAGTGTCAGTGAGAGGATGCTGCAACTGCAGTGTAATGCTGGTTGGTTTCACTGTCCACCGCTGCTCTCTGTGATGCTGTCTTGGCTGTAGGTCATTCACACAGCAAACATGACTGAGTTCCACATGAACCCAGCTGATTTAGCAGGAGGCTGCGCGTTAATATATTTCTCTAATACTTTACTGAAGAAAAAATGATGCCAACAGGAATTTCTTGTTTATGCAAATGTTGAAACTTGCTGGATTGCGTTGGGTAGAATTGATGAAAAGTTGCAATTTAAAATGAATCTAAAAAGTGAAATTATTTTTTGAGTCAAGATGTTCTTTTTTAAAAAAAATTATTTTTAAATGGAAATTTAAAACTTAAAATTGCCTTTCATGACTGTCTTTTTTCCGATTTTGCTTCTTTAACTCTGAAATAATGTTTCTGTTTAGTGTTTGTGTACTTCTTAGGTTTGCTTATTAGCTCCAGAAGTTAGAAACAAACAAACAAACAAAACAAAACAAAACAAAACAAAAAACAAAAAAAAAAAAAAAAAAAAAAACCAAACTTAAGGATGAAAACTATCCCTGCATGTTCCCTGTTTTCAGGTTAAAGTGAGTTCTCGTGTTTTTACTGTCTCCTCTAAATCTTGCAGAATCCAGTAGTGAAGTGTCAAATGAAGAACTAAAGCAACAGCTTCGAGAAGCTCTAGAGGTTAGTAGTGCTACTATGAGCACTATCCTTAAAATCTGCATTTCAATTTAATGTGTCACAGCACATTATTATTATATAGTTATATAGTTATTTCAGCAGTATGTTCAGAATCTTGTATGAATGTGGGTTCTTGAAACTAGAGCACTACTTGGAAGTCTCATTACATTTTATGCCTCTGACTTTCCATGGAAAAAAAATATTCCATATTACACCTTGAAAATCAGAATAATCTTGGGACTTTTAACCTGTGGTTTCATCAGAATAACAAGTAACCTTACTGATTTTCAATCAGACAAAAGCAACAAATTGGTACTGCTCACAAATGCAACTCCAGTAACATCTGCTGAAGCAACAGAACAGGAAGAACCATAGCAAAGTGTTTTGGGAGGCCAGAGCTGAACAGTCAAGACCTACCTAGTTGTGAAGGAAAGATAACTATTGAAAGCAGTGAATTTTCACCTATCTCTTGGAAAGAGAAAAAATGCTTCCTTCTGAAAGGGAGAATGCTGCTCACTTCATGGAAGTGCTCTAGACCTGTGCTAGTATATGCAACTTTATTAGCAAGGCAGAACTACAGAATATAGTGGCTTATTTTGTTCTGTTTTCCAAATACACTGGAGGAAAACAGAATGGATAGTAACAAGTATTCTTTAATGATTGGGCACTAGCATGCACTGTTAACATTTCTTCATCACAAGCAAACTGTAAGTAGAGAAAGAATCATAGAGGATAAAGATGAGATTTTTTTGAGGTGAACAAATTTACATTGCTGTTGTAATCAAGTTTTTAAAGAGATTATATTGGCTTTTATTCAGTGTATCCACTTTATTTTGCTTTAGGAAATTGAAATGTTGAAAGTTGAGCTTGAAGCTGCTCAAAGAAAACTTGAAGGAAAAGATGAAGCCCTAAGAATTCTGCAAAGCATGGTAGGAGTTGTTCAGAGATCATTGGCTTATTTATGGGTAAAGGAAGGGAGCAGAATCTTTCTGCCACTCTTCCTTGTCAAGCCTCCCAAACCTTGTAGTCCTTCTAAGGCTGTAATTTAAATCGTTGAGTCTACAAACTTATACAGACTCAGCTTTTACACTTTATTACTTTTTCTGCTTTTTTTTTTCAATTTGATTGCACATTACAAATATTTATTTCAAAGATAATATGTCCCTTTTCTAACTTCTGCAGGATATACTGTGAAAACACAGTTATTTAAGAAGACTTCACTCTTTTAGCAAATTCTCAGAATTTTATCTTTGAGGATCCTTGAAGGATCTAGGAAATGCTGCCTTTTTTGCAGTTCTTCAAATTACTGATTTTTCCAGTGATGGAGATTCTGCTGCAAAGCTGAGATACTTTCAGCTAATTAGTTCCATCTAAGCATTAAACACTGCATCAGTCTTTCGTGCATGGATTGTAATATTTTAACTTGCTATTACAGTGCATGATGTTGAAATTAACTGCCTACTTGCATAATCCATTTATAGTTCTGCAGTTTCTACCCTCAGACATTTGTAATAAGTCACATCTGGATTGAAGTATAAGTGTGTTGTAACCGAGTTTTCTGAGAGTTGATATTGTGGAAAACCCTTGAAGATCCGATCATTATAAATAATGCTGTATTTTTTTTCAGTAAAAGAAACTAGGTGATTGAAACGCAAGTTTGTTATGCGACATAGCTATTTCATTCCTTGAAATTAGAGTTGCTAGTGTCTAATTCTACACACTTCTGG